GCAATGGGTCTTCAATCAGGTCCCCACCTTTCTTAAAAGAATTTTTTTGGAATGTTGTTTTTTTTTTAACCTATTTATGCTTCTAATATGACAAAGTTGACATCTAAAATAGGAGAGGTTATCAATAAGGAGCGATTTACTTCACGTTGCCAAACAAAATCATCGATAGTAATGAGGAAGCCTTTGTTTCTACAACTCTTACAGAGTGCTTGTGTGTCACAATGTGTACACCACAACAAGCAGAATCAGATATACGAACATACAAAAGCACAACTCAAAAGACTTATGTGAGGTTCAGTCAGTGCCTGGGGTGCGTCTGTCCGCCCTAACAATGCCATCCCTTGCACAACCAAGGTGATAGGAGTACGAGAAGTTGATGTATAAATATTGTATCGCCTCCTCCGACCCCGCCGCATATACAGTTAACGGGAACTATGTTGAAATTCATTCAAATATATACCTGCTTTTGACCCTGGATGATATGTCTTTGGGTATGTGAGAGAGAGACTCTCCTCTTGTTGTCTCAGTCAACACGAGTGAGGCTAGCTAATTCACCATTATGGTACTTTCAGAAGTGACCATGAGATTGTAGAGAATGAAAACAACTCAAAAAAAGCTAACAAAGTGACTCTCCAACAATTTCTATAAACAACTATGCATCTGCGTGGCCACATATACGCCATAGTTTGAAACACCTGCAAGATTAGAAGAGAGTTTCCTCAATATTCACCGAGAGTAGTCACACTGTATAGCTTTTATTTTAAAGCTTATAAACATGTGTTCATTCTGTATTGATACAGATCATCGGCATATTGCAAGTTAGTTTTGTTATGCGAGAGATGTACTGATAAGGTATCTCTTCCTCGGGCCTCGGTTCATAAACTTATCCCCTCTGCTGGTTAAGATTTGATTACCACAACCATACCTGAACCCATAAAACTCCAGTAGCCCTTTTCATGTTTTGGTGTGCGACTGGTGTGTCCGCTCAGGATCCTTGAAGCTGCACGATGCTCACACGCAATCACGGACGCTGGGTCACCGTGCTGGCCAGGGTGAGTCTCTTTGTTTTTCTTTCCTCGTGACCCCTCATGGCCCGGCGCCCGCTGGGAGGGCCAGGGAGGGCCAGGCCCTTCCATTTGACATTCCTGCCCTCCCCCAATAAACACGATTTTATTATTTATAAAAATTAAAAAAAATATTCTAATTATAAATACACTGTGAAATTTTAATGCTACGATGTAGGTGAATGTCGATAGTAACTAAAAAAGATCGCAGGCTACGTCAATAAATTCATGTGTCTGTTGTGAATTTGGATTCGTCCACATTTAGACCAATGTCACAAGCGTCACAATCTGCCGCCTAAGTCTGGATTTGTTTATTGTTTATTGTGCATTCCTGTAGGACCCCATTTTCTGTTGGAATTACAAAGTGAACATCAGAAATGGCTTAAAAGGTCAAGGATTTTATTAAAACGAAATGGGTGATGAAAGAACTGCAGCAGATGGTGCGCTGGCGACCCTGCACCTGCCGTTGCAGCAGCACGGCCTTATGTCAACAAGCTGAACCTCGCAAACCCTGGGGCTGAGTAAGAGGCCAAGCCTTGACTCATCAAGGCGGGCCCGCCACCAACGCTGCCCTCCAGGCACAGCTCCTTGTGGCCCCTACCATCACCACCTGCGTGCCAACACACCCTGTACCACAACCCGCCAGCATCTCCTCCCTCCTCCTCCTTCCTCCTCCGTGCCGGTGCCGGTGCTCCACTACAGACGCTACCTTGCGGCACATCAAACAGGTACTATTGGGCCAGCAACCGCTCAAAGACCAACCGCCCCCAGGTGATCTTGGGGTTAATAAACCCAACCAGGTGAAACGGATCGTTACCAGGGAGATTGTTTTCAGGAAAGAAGCTCACTTTTTGCCACTGCATGGTGCAACAACAGACCATGGCTTGAAATATTACGTTAAAAGCAGACGCAGCTTTTGTTTCCCCTGTAGACAGTTTAAAGTAAATACGTCTTCCATCTGATGCGCGCCACTACTGTAAAAGGTTTTGCGACTGGAAACACGCATACAGACTGATAAGAACTGCTAAGGCATGACGCATCAAAAGAAACACATTCCATGTGAGAGTTCTGTGGAGAGAGAGACAGATACGCCAGGAAACAAATAAGGAAATGAGTACTTTGGTGCAGATCAGCTGCACGGAACCGTTATTACGTGTCAGCTGTCGTTGATATTATAGCTTTTTAGCTGTCAACCCAACTCCCTCTCAGAGGGTGACCACGATTCACTCCACAGCATGTCCGCGAGTCAGGCAGTGGGCTCTTCCTATCACTGTTTGAGTATACGCTGCACAAAGATGCAGAGTTGGCCAAAATAATGTTCTAAGTTAGTGAAAGGATGCACCTGCAGTGCATAGGAAAATAAACCATGCCCAAGGCGGGCTAAACAGTTCATCGTCTCCGTCTCTACTATTTCTCTCCGAGTGCAACGATGAGGAAGCTGCCATCCTTACCCAGTGTCTGCCTTGCTTGTGATTTACCAGTGTTTGTGCTGCCACGCACACAATGTTTCAAAAGTGGTTTCTATGTTGCCTTTTATTTTTGTATGTATTTGCGATACGTGTGCGTCTTTACGCAATGCTGTTGGCCTTGCTGTTTGATATATATTGTGCCGCAGGCCCGCAGCACATGACGGTTTTGTGTGCCCTCCCATGAAAATCATATGCCCTCCCTTTAGATTTGTTCTGGCGCCGGGTCTGGTGACCCTCTGTTTTAACCTTCCCTATCACATTGATATCTGATTAAAGTATCATTGAATGATTACTATTTATCTTCACAGAACTGTCATGAGCTTGAAAAAATGGACTTAGAAGAATGTATTTTGGTAAGACGATTTATGGTTTCCTTATTTACTGTCATTATCTATGTTGAACCTGGATTCATTTTTGCTTTTTATCAATTTAATGTATGTTTTAATAATAACACTATATATTAAAACCTTTTTTTTCTTCCGGGTTTGACAAGGTAGAAACATTTAAGTGGGATACAAAAGAAGACACAATAATGTTTCCATAAAACTGATTTAAGACTCTTAACTGTCCAGACATGTGTCAATAGTTTGTTGATCAACCCTCTCCTCTCCTCAGGTGACAGATAACACCCTGGTTCAGCTTTCTATTCACTGCCCTCGCCTCCAAGCTCTGGTAAACACTCGCACCTGCAGTACCAGCTTCTGGAGCTTTAATCCATCTATGTGTGTCTACAACCATGTTTTCTGTGTCCCATACAGTCCCTGTCCCACTGCGAGCTGATCACAGATGATGGTATTAGAGCTCTGAGCAGCAGTACTTGTGGCCAAGAGCGCCTCACTGTGGTGGAGCTGGACAACTGCCCCCTCATCACTGATGTGACTCTGGAGCACCTGAAGAGCTGCCATCGTCTGGAGCGCATCGAGCTCTACGACTGTCAGCAGGTCACCAGGGCTGGCATCAAACGCATCCGGGTCAGTGGAGATCATGGGCAAATATTTCAAATGAAAGGCTTTTTGATCACACATGATGAGTTGTCGTTGGGAATTGGATCAGGGAGTTCCTTATTTTATCTAAAAATCATACACCTTAGATCAGTGGTAATTAATTTACAGGTATAGTGCCAGGTCCCCGCCCAAACCAATTTCGATGTAATTGCAGTCAAATGAGAGAGTGAGACGTTTATACATAAATGGATAACTAACTGTAAATGTTGAAACACTTAAAGGGATTAAATATGAGTTATTAGTAGTTTTTATTTGAGTGAAAGATACATAGTTTAACATCTTGGAAAAGGATGAGAGGTTGGAACAGAGTGGTACTGATCTTCTCTATTACTGTTGATATTTACATCCAAAATATTTCTTTGAGGGAGAACAGTTGACTGGACACAAGCAAATCCAGATGATGTGCTTTGTATCTTGTTTGTTTTTATTCCCTTGTGTTAACACTCCTCTGTCCTACCTACACAGGCCCACCTTCCAGAGATCAAGGTCCACGCCTACTTTGCCCCAGTGACACCCCCTCCCTCTGTACACGGAGGTGGCCAGCGTCTGTGTCGCTGCTGCATCATCCTCTGACAGTGGAGGGCCAGAGGGGGCCACCTCTGTCTGCAGGTCCTGCTGCTCTGATACGAGCGGGAATGGGATGGGGGAAGGGAGATGACTGGGGTAGGTGTAGGGGAGAGGAGGGGCTGGACCCACTCACTACTCCTGATCACTGATCAATACATAGACTGATCGCCCCTGATCAGTTGAATCCGCCCCTCCTCTCTCCTCGTGCTCACCGATAAGGATTGCAGCAGCCCGGGGTTTGGGCATGGGGGTTTGTGGAGAGAACATGGATGGATGGACTCCCTCTTTCTCTCTTTTTATCTCTCTTTCTCTCTCTCACTGTAAAGACAAAAACAAGTTCTCCACTCCATCCTACTCCTCAGACCCCTGAAAAAAGGACTGCATCTGGAGATGGTGTTGGACGGGGTCTGAAAAGTGGAACTACATGCATCATGTTCAAACTGAAAATGAAAAAAAGACGAAAATGTCATCTTGGAATACAGTTGGCTCTCTGCGGAGTATCATCTCAACAATCACATGACGCCTCTATGTGACCATCCTGTGATTCATTATGCTTTGAACAACAACACGCAGCATGGAGGGGGAGCAGCACTGGGGTGGGGGAAAGGCAGGTTTTCTGGATATAAGAAGATCAGCACATTCAACTAAACTCTGTAGTGTGGAAGAGTTGAGAGAAAGCAGGAAGTACATAATGGGATGGGACATGTGACATTTGTGCATCTGAGAAACTTTTTGTTGAGATTTAGATTCTGTTTGTACAGAGAATGTTTTGCAATGGAAAAAAAATGTACACACTTATGGCAATTCACTAAAGATTGGGGGGGGAAATTAGTTCCTTTTTTAAAATGCTTATTGTAATTGTCCATGCCTGTTTATCCAGAGAGGAAGATTATGTTCGTCATTCTTTTTTAAATGGAAAAGAAGTAACTGTTGATGTTTAACAAAAAAAGGACCTATGATTCAGACCCTCAGCGTCTAAAAGCGTTATGTTGACTGTGTATGCGTCTGCGATGTGTGGCCTCTCCTGTGTTCTGCCTGGTTCTGTTGGCTCGTAGGCCCTGATCCGATCCTGTCATTAGCCCTGTGCACTAGCTCCTACTTGACCACTTAAGCATTTGTTTACAACCTGGATTAGGTTAGCACCACAGACAAACATGTTTACATTGGTGGATGTCCAATCTCCCTACTATTCAGAGTGCGTTTAGTACACTTATATAATTGGGGTTAACCCACAGTTGTTGACTGGACTGTGACGTCCATTAATCAAATGTATTGCTGTGTACACTAGGACATAAATCAGGGCTCACCTCGGTGCAATTTTGCTTTAAAATAAAATGGAAATTTGCCTAAAACTGAGATTATAGTTTAGAGAATGTGAGCAAAGGCGCTTCAACTTTTTGACAATCACAGGAATTTGTGTATTTGAAAGTTATTTTAGTCTAAGTGTTGTTTAATTGGCAATTTACTGATGATAGGTAGGATATAATAATGTGTTGCTTAATAAAGAACCACGTGAGAAATGGTTCATAAATAGCACTTGGCAAATCTAATGCATTAAATTGATCAGCAATCAACTGGTCGAATCCTACAAAACACTTGACAAGAGGGATGTGATATGCAGCTCCAGAACCAACAGGTAACAGGTTAAGAGACTCTAAACAAGCACTCGTTCAGAACCTCAACATGATCTGTTTTGCCATGCAGATTAACGTGTCTATGGGAAATGTCATGCCACATACAAGAAGCAATGAAAATAAAACACAACAGAAGCAGCTCGCAATGTTGAGACTGGCAAGTGCTGTGTGGGGCCAAGTGCTCAAAAACTGGGGAGATTGGCAGGACAATGGATAGGAATTAAGAAGGAGAGCAGACAGAAAGATTGAAAAAAGACTCAGATGGATACAAAGCTGACTTCACTGGCTGTGATACTAATGCCCTCTCTCTGACAGCTGTATAACAGTTTTATGTTTAAGAAAATAAAGAAATACATTAAAAAAAATAAACAACTGAAAAAATTAAAGTGACTAAGTAAATGTGCTTTGTCTCTAGTGTGAGATTATTTTCTCCTATAACCCAGTGGTTGCTGGGTTACATTCACCTTGGTTTTACTGCTGGTAAATGTGGAGCCTATTTTAATTTATTTACGTACATTTGTTTAAATATATTAATTAAAATGTGTCTTGTTAGTTTGTAAATGTATCTTGGGATCACAATACTTTTGTATACATCAATATAACAAATATGTTGATTATGTTTTGATATAGAAAATAGGCTAACTAAAGCAAGTTCAAATACATGTAGTTAATTAAGAAGTAAAATATTAGCCTCTGGAGTAGATGTATATTGTAGCAGAAAATGTAACAACTCAAAATGTTCTTTATTTTACTTGGTTACTTCTCACCACAGTGCTGCAATATAAGAGTACTTTATAGTAAACTGCGGCAAACTGAATGCTCCAACAGCGCTGAGCCGCTAGATGTCACCCAGGGGCCGTGTAGGCTGCAGACACACCCACACACAGTGCGGTCTGTCTCATTCATGATTTTATTAGAGAAAACATTAAACATCTAGCAATAACTATTGAAAACATATAATTTGACTTAGTATGAGTATCTTCTTACTGTTTAAGCACATTGCACTCCACAGTACTCTTCATGATTCTTCATTTTTGATCAGGCATGTTACTGGCTAGCTGTGCGGTGCCTGAGGACCCCTCTGATCGTTTATCGGTTTCAGTCACCGACCGGTAGCCGCGAGCTTTCAGCGCCACTAAACGGGTTTAGCGGCAGCAGCGATTATTCCTGGACTAAAGAGAAAGCAGTACTGCAGGACTGGAGTTGAGCAACTATTTTTGAAGTTTGATGCAACTTTACCGCTAAAAGAGTACACAACAGACCGCTCTGAGGACTCTTCAGCCCGTGGTCATGGACTAAAGAGCGGAGCCAGGCGTCCGGCCTGCGGATCATAACGTTAGCTGCCCGGCTAGCGGATGGGAAGCTCTACCCTTGTTTGGGTCGCTGTGCTAACTGGCTACGTGCTATCTTTGTTAGCATAACAATTAGCCAGGCTTGTTTTGATGTTGGCATATTGAAGAAACCTGCTGTGTGCAACTACAATTACACATTTCTGGAACTTTCTCTAAGTTTTAAATGAACCTTCGCAGCTAATGTTGCTCAATAAGTAAGCTAGCGAGCTAACGTAAAGTCTTTGTCATACAAAGTATAGTTTTTTTGGCAGAGATGATTTGTGGGATTAAATAATCTCTCTTCGTTTTTTTTTAAGGATTGCAGACTGATCTTCAATCATAAATTAAACACAATCCAGACTGCACAGTCTCTCTGCCCCTCCACTGTCCTTTATACCCCGTCCCACCGACCACTGTCTTCTATCTTCGGCCGGCTTCAGTGGCTGGCCACACGGACCTGAGTGCCCAATGGAGGATCATGACAATATGGACTATTTTTACCAGCAGTTAGTGCAGAAAGATGTTAGCCGCAGGTTGCAGGTGGGTCAGGACCTCATTGACTACCTGAATGATCCGGACCGCTCCTCGGACGTGGAGCAGGACAAACCCCGGCTCGATAAAACCATCGACGAGCTGGCAGGATGGGTGAACTCCAGCAATTTCAAGGTGAGAAATCTTGGCCTGTCAACACATCGGGGTATTGCAGTGTCACTGCAGCAGCCAGCCCCTCATGTTGTTTATTAATACTTATCCACTAGTTTAGCTTGTGAGCTGCAAAAAGGTTTAAGATGTTACAAACTCTAGCAGAAATAATGGATTTCAAACGGGCTGTCATCACCTAATGGTATAAAGATGGATATTTAATTACAATTCTTTAAGCCAGATATTTTAAACGGGTTGCCACTTTTTCTTATCAGCCAAGACAGAGGAAACACATATTATTTTCATTTTTTTGTATTCAATGTATAATCTTAGAAAATCTATAAAAACGGAAGGCTTTGTGTTTATCTGTGTCACCCTAGTAGTATTTCTGGATCACAATAGGCAGACATATTTAAATGCAACCCCAGTGACAGAGTTGGACGTTTGCAGGGCATTCCTGTGGTTTGTCGGAGTTTATATGGTTGTATTGGCTGAGACTGTGTGTCTGTGTTGAGGACCCATTGTCAGGACTGTAGACGACTGTAGCCCTGGATGGGGGAGGGGTCAGCAGACTCATTGTTGTACCCGATGCTTTCTCTCCATCCTTTGCTCTCTCTCTCTTACAGACACATAATCTCAATCTCCCTTTTTGCCGTTTCATATTTTTTCATATTGCTGTTTCATGCTCTGTTTGTGTGTGACGGCCTTGTCTACACGCTTTGCCATATCTCAGAAATGCAGGAATGTGACATTTTTGCCAAGGTATCACAAAGATCCAGTCAAAACAGTCTGAAATCCTTTTTCAAAGCGTGCTGAAATTTGACTTTTAAATATCGTTTTGCTTTGATTAAATGATATGCACTGAGATGCAGAAATCAGTAAGACTCGAAGAGTGTGAAAATGTTGCGTTACAGAAGCATCCTCTTCAGTGTTTCCCCTACCATTGTCTTGGAGGTGCGCTGTGCCCTGCCAACGGAGCCCCGCGCCCCCCCCCTGAAATTCAAAAACATATATGTTTTATATATACAGCTCCAAATTGCAACTAATCTATATCTACTGTCACTTTTCACATTGAACATGTGCTCGTGTACCAGGAGTCTAGCACCAGGAGTCTAGCACCAGGAGTCTAGTACCAGGAGTCTAGGAGTAGTGGGCAGCTATTGTACAGCGCCCGGGGAGCAATGGGGGGTGCCTTGCTCAAGGGCACCACGGCAGGGCCCAGGAGGTGAACTGGGACTCCAAGTTTATTAAATAAACTAAACGCTTTCATTTTAAGTTGTGAGTTTAGTGTATTTGACCCTAAGAAACACTGATGCATTAATCAATAAAAATAATCCACACACAGCTCCTCTCTCTGCTCCAGAGGATTTAAAAAAAAAAATATATATATATCCCAATGCCCCCCCCCCCAAAGCAGTAAACCTAGGGGAAACACTGCTCTTTAAGTCTCGTTCCAGGGGTATAAAAAATGTCCTTAAACATTTTGTCCTTTTGTTGACATACGCCTTTTAAATTGAACTTGCTACCCATTCCTATCCACCATGTGTGATGTGAACCTTTGCCACCAATTACATCTGCCTACCAAGGGTTTCATCTCTAGCTGTAACAAGCCAAAGCATCCCTTTGTTCAGATTTGCTGTGATGACACATACAGTAACTTGAGCTCAATGTCTGGCAGTGATGAGCCAGTGAGTTGTGATCCCCAGAGTCCCTCGCACAGCAGGCTTTTAGTGATGCTTATTGGCGCCCTGTCAGCCAGAAGGACAGAAGAGTTGGCTATAAGCAAGATGCTGAGTCAGCACAGAGAGAGGGATTAATGGAGAGATGATGCAGAGTTGAAATGTGGGGGAGAATCAAAGAGTTGAAAACAATTGAGGGCTAAATGGGGCAAAGGAAAACACCAGTCAGGACTCTTAAATAGATTCAATGTTTGTGGAAGGCGACTGTCGCATCCAAGTTCCTCTTTTGGGTATGGATACAAATCGTCCCATGGCCCTGTTTCACTTGTTTGTCCTTGTCTGGGTCTGTTTTTAACAATGGATCCATTACACCTTCTCCTTTCTTTCCTCAATCAATAGATAGGACTGTAGATTCCACTCTCACTGCATCACAGAGGCCTCAGCGCTCCTGTGAGGGACGTAAACAGAGGGATTAATATTGCATGCTGCATTTATGGGCGGCAGAAACGACTGAACACTGACTTTATTGATCGAGGGTTGATACTGCTACCAGGCTGGCTTCACGAAACACTCTGATCCTTGTGATTTTGCTCAAATAAAGAGTATAAAATATGCTTCATAATGTTTAACTCAATTTTTGATACAGTATTTATCACAGTGCAGGGTTTACGGTACAATACACACAGGCTCAAGTCTTATTTCAGTATTTAAAGATTAAATATATTCACCGCCGTGATAATATATTATGTTATTTCTCTTTCAATCAATTAATCTATTTTTATGTTAGCCTGCTTTTCCTGTAAACTCAACTCCCCCTGCAGATGTTTCACTGTATAAACCTTCGAGTGAAGATACTTGCTTTCAGATTTTTAGATGTTTTTGTTTGCTTTATTATCAGTAGAATAATAGTTAAAAGACAAAGTCCAGCTTTATTTGTAATAACCCTCAGTAATGTTGGGCACCTCTCTTTGTGGAGAGTTGTGTTTATTATAATTGAAATGTAACTGGGTTAATATGGCAATAAAATGTCCTAATATTTAATCTGGCACTACTAGTATCATCTCAACATTTTGCCATTGCTTTGTAGCACGAAAATATGTTCTAACATCGATTTACCAACTCCACAGTCCCGCAGCTTAAGCAGGGATTTGAACTAAGAAAGGCTTCCATTCACTCTGGAATAAGCCATAAAGCGGACTACCAACATTTGTATTTTTTGCAATCTATAAGAATGCAAAATAATAGTTATTTATTAACAAATTGAGTTGTGTTGTTGTTATGATTAATCACAGAGCTTATGGTTACATCCCCAAATAACTTATTCAGTCCAACCAACAGTCTATTTTTTCACCTTTGCATCATAATGAGAGCATTTTGCTGCCATGGCAGAGGTATTCACTCCTCAATTGTCTTTCTAGTTGTTTTGAGCATCGATCTCCACTCAGCACATTCTGTGCACTTCTAAATGTGGCTGTGAGAACTTTGGACCTTTTTAAATCACTTAAAGCCTGTCTAGAATCCAGAGTAAACCTGAACATGGTATGTGAATTAGCCGGCTAAGCCAACATACGCTCCAACCTTAGTCTTCACAAAGAACCATTCATACTGGACTAAATATTTACCCTTTTTTCCTGAGCATACCTCAGTCACACTGATGTTTTGAAGATTGCCCTCTAAAGATGCTTTGGTTAGGTAGACCCACCCACCTCCGCTTGCCCTATGTTTGAAATATTTGGGGTGATGCCCAAGTGCTTATTTTGCCTCCCACCTCTTCTTTCCTCCATAATTCCCTCCTCAAATGTAGTCATATTGTTTTTACAACAGGAAAAATCTGCCCCCTCAGTCTCTTTTGATGCCGACCCATGTCTTCCTGTCAAAGGTAGAGAACATGCACAGCCTCTTCTATCTCCTCCTCTGCCTATCTCCGAGGGAAGATGCCATATGATTGTGGGTGCCAAGCTTGTTGGGGTGCTGGGTGGAGGAGGGGAGGCCGCGAGCTGCTTCCTGCCTGCACTGTTTTTCCTCCCTCCCCCTAAATTAGGTCAGGATTACAGAGTCATCATTAGGCGCATTCACACCGCAGTACTTTTCCCACAAAGGTTCATGAGAACGCTTTAGTTCTCACGAACTAAGTACAGATCGTGTTCACACCGGAATAAGTCCCTGGGGGAGGATTAGGCAAAGGAAGCCGCTGACGTCACTTCTTCTTCTTCTGCTTTGGGTTTACTGGCAGGCCGCAAACAACTTCACGGCGTATACTGCCACCCGAAGTCCCCGGAGTTGGGGACTGGCTTCAGTAGAAGCTGCTGGGACTCCCAGCAGCTTCTACTGAAGCCTTCCGAGTAAATCGCCACAACGCCGACACCTCCTCATCTCCACCGCTCCCATGTTTTCTTTTGTGTTGCCATAAGTTAGTCTCTCTGCATTTGTGCGCTGGGCTAATGCTAATAATGCTAATGCGAGGATAATAAAATGGCGGCTTCACAAAACTTTCTGGGAGTTTTACGGGGCGTGGTTTGCATTCCGCCCAGCCAATCAGACATAGGAACCTCTTTCTCCCACGAAAGTACCTGCTCTCTAGCAGGGGGTAAAAAAGGTTCTCATGAACTAATTTTAGTTCCGGCTCTTTTTGGTGTGAACGCGACATTTCGGAACTATATCGGTACTAAAGTGGGAAAACGCGGCTATAGTGACCTGGAGCTCATGTTTCTTCTCCAGGTGATTTTTGTTTTCTGTGGTATTGCTTGGCCTTCGTCCCTGCATTTCTTCCTCATCGCCCCCATCCTCCCCCCTTTTGTTTTTGTGGTTACCTGGCTTTGCTCTTCAGTCTTCCCTTTGACTAAAATAGGGAAAAAACTGCAGCCTTACTCCCGACTTATGGAAGAGGAGTCTGGAGAGAAACGTTTAATGGATTTTCTTTTTGGACTGCTCAGTTTTACTGCGGCGCTGCCAACACAAGCATTCCAGGAGCACAGCGCAGTGTGGGATGTGATCCTAATCAGAAACACAGTGGAAAACTCAGCTTTACCACAAGACAAAAAGTCCAGTGTACCTTCCCCCTAAATATCACATCATAAGCCAGTGGTGATAGACAGGAGAGATGATTAAGTGTCTTGAGTTAGGGTCGTCATGCATTATTTATGTATTCTACACTCTACAGTTGCTTAAGTAATAAGATATTATGTTAGTTTCTGATCGGTTTTGTTTGGTTGTTAATTAGAGCAACGGTTGTCTAACTCTGAGACTGTGGGCCTCCTCTCAGACAAAGCTTGGAAAAAAGGCGCCCCCTCAAACCCCCCTAGTTTACTTTCTTGGATTTGCTCAATTCCTGGATGCCTTTGAGATCATGATTATGTTATTTGATCCCATAGGCACTCAACAATTCAGCCAAGATATATATTACTGTTTGATAAAACCTCCGACTGCTCCAGATACTTTAAAAAGGGGTCTGCCATAAGAAATGACTAAGTTTATGACTCTGAGAAAGTGGAGATAAAGGTAAAATTCCCCCAAACCAAATGTCAAACATTTCAGTGTTACATATAATTGCCTGTCTTACACCTTTTAAAAAAGTACTATCACTTTATCCATAAACACATATTAAACCTCAGTAAATTGCACTACTTCAGAACGCTGGTATGAAAAACCTGAACTGAGAAATCCACTGTGATTTGAGCTGACTCGGGTATCTGCACTTATTAATATTGTGATAAAAAGTGGTTGTGTATTGTGTCAGATGGAGGACTTCAGGGGTGGTCTTTGGATGTTATGTTTTTGTATTTTATTTTTGGCATTTCATTTCAACATAAAAGGTGGATGGAGTCGCTCAATGTATATATTTTACACTCACTGTACAATATATATACTCTGTGAATACAATGTAAGGCTTTGTACACTTCAATGTTTACAAACATATTACACTGTCACAGTCTTAGTATCAAATTCCTGGTACAATTCCCGTTTTAAAAAAAAAACTATAATTCACTGTTGCCATCCTCTGAATGGTACAGTACTAGTTTCTCACACTACAAGGCTCCAGATATCTGAGATTTGGGGGCTGAAATCTTTTTTCAAAAAGCTGTCTGCAGACTGACCGGCCTACATCTTAAAAAGGAGACAAGGAGAGACTTGATTCCTTAAACATGACAGCATGAACATTCTCAGACTCTGCTGTTTGAGTCAGCAAACCTCAGGAGAAAGTTTGATTCAGCATTTCTTTGTATCTATATAAGGTGCCAAGAGATACAGAAGTATCCGCTGTCATAACTCCAGACTATAGAGCACATTCTTTCCTCAGGCTGAGACTCTTATCTCATCCTTCAAACTACAAAAGCAGTTTTGTCTCCTTTTTTGTTTTTCTTGTTAAATAACTTGGAACTTTACCTGCATTGTGTTGCACCAACTTGTGTTTTACAATGAATATAAATAATCTTTGAATATTGGACACTGAAACATGAAGACTTTAAATGTTGTTTAAACCTCTGCATGAGAGCCTTATTTTATTTTCAGCCAATTTGTCCTAATTTGACTGCTGCCACTAGGGTGAATGTGTAGGCAGACAGGGACTCAGGTCGGGGAAAAAATGTGTTTGTTGACATGATAAATACAAGAGACTGCTATTAAATATTATAGTGTGAGGCTTACTATAACATTTGTCTTTGTTCCACTCTGTTGTGTAGGTGGCGCTGCTGGGAATAGACATCTGCGGTGCCTTTGTGGACCGGCTGGGAGAGCGGTTCAGAGGATACCTGTGCACAGGTGAGACATCTATCCCACTCCCACCCTGAATGAAACTATTCATCATGTCTCTGTATTTGTATCACATTCAAAGTGTTCGAATCTGATAATTCTCAAACCAATAAGTAGATGGCGATTCGTTTAATAAATAATCAAGCTCAAGGTTATTGTATTGTTTCAAAAAAATTGTTGTCCTACCATTTTGTCTTTCACTTCCCCTTTGTGGTTCCTCTGAGACAGACCAGCAGCAGCGGCTCTAAAGCCTGGCACCACCTCCTCTCTGCCATACAGTACACCCTCTGCTCTCTATATTTAGGCTCTAAATTGTCTGCCATGCTGTAGCTCAGTCTATTACACACCAAAACCACACCTCACATTTATATGACCTCATACACTGAATCTTGTATCCAATTTCATGCTCTCCCTCTCTGAGTGAGTGAGTGTGTCTGTGTTCTGTCTGTGCCAGCCCTTGTGTGTGCCCTCTGAAGGTGTCCCCTGCTGTCTTTGTCAGGCAGACTGGTTCTCGTCACCAACAATCACACTCAATCCTGCAGATCACCTCTGAGATGACTGGACCTGTCACACAGAGAAAAAGTCTGCCAACACACACACACACACACACACACACACACACACACACACACACACACACACACACACACACACACACACACACACACACACACACACACACACACACACACACACACACACACACACACACACACACACACACACTATTTGGCTCACTGTCTTTACCGAAGCCTTAGCCCTGTGTGAGTGTGTTATAGAAGTGTGTGTTTCAGATTGATGGTAAAAACATCTCTGAGCCACTGCTGCCTCTGGAATCTCCCTCCCTCCGACTTCCATCTCTCCTTTCCTGTGCTCTCTCTCCTTCCCCCTGCACTCAGCCACCCTCCACACACACACACACACACACACAATCGGAGGCTCGGAGGATGAGATCATTGACACTGAGCAATCGTATTGATCTACAGGACTGAGTCAGGCCTGCTGCCATCACACCGTATGTGTTCACTTTGGCACTGTGCGGTCGGGCTGTACCAAGTGTGATTCTTTTTAACGTTTGATGCTTCTAAGATTTTTGAATGAGGATTTACTTTTCTGTCCTCGTGTTGTATTAATACAAAAAATAATCTAAATCCTCAATTTGAATACATCTGATAACACATGAATTTAAATAAAATTAGACCTATTTTTTTTCAATAGATTTAGATTTTTGACTTTATTAGAAATGTGAGTTACAGACAGTCTATTTGTAGAAGTAGATTCTCCTTGGACTCTGTCTCTACAATTCAAAGTATAACACTAATATAATTTGTGTATCTTTTATCTGCAACTGTGCAGAACCATGAGTTTAAACTAATGCTGTCAAAATTATCGCGTTAACGGCGGTAATTAATTTTTTGAATTAACTGCGTTAAAAATATTTAACGCATTTAACGCATGTGCAGAATGGCCCGCCCCATACATTCCACCAGTGGCAGCGCTGGGGTAGGCTACAGCCATACCAAGAAATGGCTTAGCCCCACCTTAGCCCCACCATGAACAATGATGTTAAAGTAAGCAAAATAAAGTCCGCCAACTCGCGCCGAGTAAATTGCACAGACAGCAGTTAGTAAGATTGATTTCAGTAGCCACTTGTCTGGAAATACCGGAGGCTAGAAGCGGTTTTGAAAACTTTTGTCACGTAGTGATCGTCTTCTCAATAGAACATCTTTGATAATGTCTTCTGGCCAATCAGAATCAAGATAACGGCGTGGTGTTGTTGCAGGAAGTCCCGACGGAGAATACTTTTGCGCAGCGCCATATAGATAGTCTATATATATGGCGCTGCTTTTGCGGTAGTGCATCTCTATATAGGCCTACATCGATACAACATTACGTGTTGATAGAAATCAACACGTAATGAAATAAGACCCCACGGTTTGATGATTGATAGGTGTGTGGGCTGTCTTTCATTTTGACACACAGAACAATGTTATAATACATACATACATACTACTGTATGTTAAATGGATATATCCGCCTTCTTTCATTTATCTTTCCATTCCCACAACAATATACATAAAGAAATGGCATATTTTGGACATAGTTCGAATGGTGATTAATCATGATTAATTAATTTTTAAGCTGTGATTAACATTTTTAATCGTTTGACAGCCCTAGTTTAAACATAATAAATATAAATAGATTTCAAAATCTTAATGTTAACGTCAAAAGCTCTGAACTATTTGCTACAGCCCTGAGAAAAGTGAAATACTCATATCACAAAAAGAAGTGCTTTTCACTTCACAAGAATGTCTTGTTTCTAAGTGATGAATCAAAACATAGTGACGTAAGGGGCCCGGCAGCTGTGGGCCACTTTGATCGCCCTGTTGGAAAAAGATTAAGCAACATGCCACACACCAGCAAATTGTGTTCGCTGTATGTGTGTTTTCATGCTTACTACAGCAGATGATGTTGTGTGCAACAATGCCCCCCTGTCATGTTTTATGTTTGAGGGTATTGTCCTTGTTGCCAACGCAACTAGCTGTTATGGCAACATAATGTACGCGCACACACACGCACCGCAGGAAAGGAGAGGTGACATCACTCCCTTCGCTGAAGCTTCAGACTAGGATTGGTATGTGTGTGTGTGGGTGGTCATGCCCTTCTGTGTGTATTGTTATCTCATTCATGGCGCTGATGTCAAAGGGAGGTTTTGGGTTTGATGTAACTCAGAACGTTTTGGCATTTGATAAAAAAGGAAAAGATTCACCAGATTTGACATTTTAGATTTTCCAACAGGGTTATGGAAAAGGACAACCGTTGCATGTTGTTCATTTTAGATTTTTTGAATTAAATAATAATAAGCTTGGGCAATGTAATAGCTTTTGGACCTCGATGTCAGTGTATGGCAGAGAGGAATAAGATGTATCTGAGGATATTGACATTATTTAGGAACAAATAGTTGATTTTCATCATTTTATGGAATGTTTTGCTAATGGGAAATACTTAATAACACCATACTTTCATAAAAAAGACTTCCAACACTCTCTTCACTTAATATTATATTTATAATGTTCACCTTAATATGATCTTCAGATTAAAAACTGTCGAGTAGCTGTTTATCAGATATTAAAGCTACAAAAACACTTGAAGCTGAGGGCTCTCTGCCAGCTCAGTTTGAAATTGCACAGAGGATTATAATAACCATCTGAAGCATTTTGTGTTATTGCCAAAATCTGTACATTTCAGTGCCAGCATCTAAAGGCTCTTACTCTTAATTCTGTACAGCGCACGTCACTGCGTTACATAGACCGTGCCACTGGAGCAGTTGTGTGTTAGATAAAGTGGAAGTGACACGAGAGCATTTGATGATATGACACTATTTTAGTCACGGTCCATTTCTCATGTCCTATAGTCTTTGCTCTGGTTTTATCAGAGCCTTGGTGTTGATGTTGGTATTGCTCAAGCCTTTACATTTCAATGTGTTTTATGTCATCTTTCACACAATCGCATACTGTAGCTAATGATAAACACATACAGTATGTTTGTGTGTTAACATGTTTTAAGAGTACTCCACATGGGGGCAGTGTCTATTTGTTGTCCTTTGTCTTTTCTTGTCTCAGTTTCATGTGTGGCCTCATGTTCCCTGTACTTCATGTAAATAGTACACTTTTTAAACTGCAATTTTCATTTATTAACTTTTATTAACCCTTTCTGCCTGTAGTTCTTCCAGCTCTGGTGGACCGGCTGGGCGATGGGAAGGACCAGGTCAGGGAGAACAGCCAAGCTCTTATCCTGCGCTGTATGGAGCAGAGTGCCTCGCCCATGGTGAGAAACACACACTCAATCACTCACTCACTCACAAATGTTTACGTCATATCAATACATATAATATTTTATGGACAAGGCATTCAAACACAACTTAGGAGAAATGTAGATGTTGATCCTTAAAAAGTCTCAGGACTGTTGATGTGTTTCAAGTTCAGTGACTGACAGTAGACGCTGATTAGTAAATGTTAAAAACCGTATTGCATTGTGTTCGGCTGCTTACTGTTAAAGGACTCTTTCTGTCAAAATTGGCCACAAATGGTATTTATATATTCCTTAAAAAAAAAAAAAACATAGGTTCAAAAACTATAATAATATATTTTTTTGACTAATGTTCGTTTCTGCATGTTCCTGCTGATGCTTATGTAAGCATTATATTATGCAGCTGATTTTGGAAGTCGAAATAAGGAGTTATCTCTACAACATTTAAGCTTCAGATAAACTCTAGTGATTCCAGTTTTCAGGAAGAATGCACTATTGAGACGAAAAACAGACGGCAGATAAATCACAGCCACCTCATTAAATTACATCATTAAATGTTCACTTCAGAGGAGCTCTGTGTTTGGGCTCCCTCGCCTGGGTGTTAAAGGAATTACACTTCTACATCTCCACTGTGCTCTGTGTTGGCTACACAGAGCACACTAGCTGTGAAATCTGCTCTACCCCCCGATGAACTGCCTGGCAGAAGCTTCCACTTCTCATTCTTTCAGTCAATCTCTCCCTTTTTCTCTCTCTCCTTCAGTTCGTTTGGGAAAGGCTACTTCCTGGTTTTAAACACAAGAACTTCCGCAGTCGAGAAGGAATCTGCCTCTGTCTCATTGCCACGCTCAGCACGTGAGTAACTTCCCCCTCGCCACCGTATCACTTCCAGGGTGAAATGTGAAAGAAAACACTGGACATTTTAAAGCTATTAAATGCATGCATATGTATTCTTATCCGGTGGGCAGCTCACACATTAGTCTAAACCAACTCATTGATTTATTAATGATATACTGAAGGTATTTTATGACAGAGAGTTTGCTATCTTAATCCTATACTCAGGATTGACCAATAATCTTTTAATGCCTAATAGAAAAATTGTTGAAAAACACCCATCATGTGTTTTACTTGCGGAAAAGCCTAAGTTACTAATCCTTAGGTCACATGCCATTTCCACTGATCATAATTCCGTTGTTGAGGTATACTAAAATAGAAAAATACTGTGCAATTTTCCAAACTCACATTGGTTTCGCATACAGCATCTCTGTAAAGTATGTGTATTCAGCAGTATTCACTTTCTCCACTAAACGGCTCGCTGCAGCTCCACGGCACCCCCCCCTCCGTGATTTCCTTGTTTAGCTATACACAGCCAAACACAGCCAAACTCAACCTGAACACACACAAAGTCACAGCCGAAATAAAAACAATAAGTGTGGCTTGATATTGAGTAAGAAAAAGGTTTATAGGTTGATAAACGCTGTGAGAATGGGTCTGCAGAGAGAATTTTGCGCGATCCGAACTGTCTGTTATCAGCCTGCAACCAGGGAGGAGAAATCAGCAGGGCTGCCTGCACTGAGTGTGTGTGTGGATTGGTCAATTTGGACCAATCAGCGGGGGCTTAACATAACGGCTCCGCGGACGTAACGTAACGGCTCCACGGATTGGCCCATTTAGTTCCGGGTACGTGCTTTCGTAAGCACGTACCCGGAAGAATGAAATGGATGATGATGTCATGATGATGTTTCACCAACGAGACGTTTTGGGGAGGTATTTTCTGTTTTAGAGTTTTACTCGCTACAGGGTGTACTTTGAGGGTTTTGACTCTGCACACCGTTTACATGCAGAAAAACCTTCATAACACACAAGGGGACGGGTAATAACCGGAAAAGCATGACATGTGACCTTTAACCTGAATTGATAATAGACTATAATCAATGTAAACAGAACAGATCTTAATGTTTGCATTCTTATAC